TCTCCCCTCTCCCTCCCCCCTCCCCTCCCTAATAGGTACTAGGCACTCTGTTAGGTGTGGGCATGTAAAGCTGAGTAGGTTACTCCTCTCAAATCTCTCACAATTCAATGTAGGTCACCGAAGTTATGTATGGTTATCCGGTGGGAGGGGCGGGAAAAGTACAAGGAAGCCTCCGGGATGGAACAATTATTTCTGATTACTGAAGGACTCCCAAGATCGGGAGGAACTTTCTTGAGAGGAAACACTGAAAAAAAGACACAGAGATCGCAAAATACAGGAAAAGAGTTTGATTTGAATTCATTTAACTTTTAAAAAGATATAAGCAAATACCTGTTTAAAATCACACGTGAAACAGAGGTACTATATGGTTAGGCATTATTCTATATAAGCAGATGAAATGTCTCCCTAGCGCTGTCCCTGTGCCCCTGTGTCCCCCCCTCCTTTCTCCTTTGAAATCCGGGTCCGATTGTATCGCTAGCGGCACAGTATAACCTCTCTGTCTTTTCCCCCTCCTCCTTCCAATTCTTTTCCTTTTCCCTGCCCCCCCCTTTCCTTTTTCTGAACCTGCAGTCAGATGTCTTCATTGGGCATGATGTAACACCTCTGCCACTCTGAATTGAGCTCACCATCATCCGGACAGCTCTTTAACAGTAGATTCCCAAAGAAATCAAAATGGGACGTTTCCAGTTGCTCTGTCAGCCGTAGGCGATGGTCCTCCTCGCATTCTCATGTCTTCCTAATCTGCCTGCTTATTTTAGGTAATGGGACTCCTGGCCAACCATGGTGGGGTACCCCACCAGCCCCAGACCGACTATGCGCTCTCCCCGCTCACCGGGGGCCTGGAACCTACCACCACGGTGTCGGCCAGCTGCAGCCAGAGACTAGACCACATGAAGAGCTTGGACAGTCTCCCAACATCTCAGTCGTATTGTCCACCCACCTATAGCACCACGGGCTACAGCATGGACCCTGTCACAGGCTACCAGTATGGGCAGTATGGACAAAGTAAGCCTTGGACTTCCTGGGGGGGGTTTGCTTCTGGAAGCATTAAAAATTCCAACATTTCCTTAAGAAAGGGGAGGTGGCGGCCTGATTCAGCCTTACAGCCCAGGATCAACTCTGGGCAACGCCAGCAGGTTGTTCCAGCAAGAACTCGCTTGTATAATTATTTTCTTAACTGATGTCAACAACATCTTGCGGTTTTTAATTGCCGCGATGTGAAGCCCGATTGGCACTAGGTAAAACACAAGGGTTGGCCAAAGTGAAGTAACCCCTGGCATTAGAAACACATGTTCTTAATGAGGTCGGCTCAAGGATCATGTGGAGTATAATCTCAAAGACACAGAGTTATGTCAAACTTGTCTCAGGACTAAAAATATTAGTCCGAATCCTTTGATGCCACGGTATTAAATACGACAGTGCCGGCCGGTAGCTGACTTTGCCCCTTGCCACGAGCTGTCGCGGCACGACCTGAGAGCTGTGTGTGTTTCCTTGCAGGTGCCTTCCATTATCTCAAGCCAGATATCGCGTAAGTGGACCGGCCACTTGGAGCTACAACTGGCCCGATTTCCAGTCTCCACAGTCGAGACATGAAGAATCTTCTCAGAAAAAAAATCGCCCTCTTGGGGGACAGTCCCGACAGCAGACAAAGGAGAGTGATTGATTTGGTTTCTCCGGTAGTTGGTTTCCAATTCTTTTGAACGTGCTGGACAAAGCCGTGGAGAAAAGGAAGACCCGGGACAGTAAAGACAATGCAACGTTTTAAGGCAACGATTTCACATGGCTATGTATCCAACACCCCAGCTCTGTAGGCGCTGAAACATTCCATTTGTGTGTGTGCCTGTGCCTGTGCGTGTGTGTGCGTGTGTGCGCGCACGTGTGCTTGAGTGCGTGTGTGCGTGCGTGCGTGTGTGATTTATCTGGACTGGTTCGGGCAAGCAGAATGTTCCCAAATACAGTCGGAGAATTCTCCCCAGTATAACAGGATGGATGCCTCATGCTGACGCTTCTACAACTTTCAGACTGCTCCCTTAATGCAGCAGGAACGGAGGAATCCTTGACTTTTACACACTGGAAATTGATATGGAAATAAGTGGCACCGTTTTTAGGAAGTTAGACTAGATGTAAAGGGCCTCCCAAATAAATTATTTGTTATCGTACCCTCACTTGGACTTCAGTGGTTACTAAATGTCCCGGAAGGACACGTCTTGCTGGTAGGACCTGGGTCAGCAGGAGGAAAAGCTGGTGTTCTCTCCCGGCCTGGCAGGGGTGTGCCGGTTCCCCAGTGCAGTTTCCCGTCGGGGCTGAGCTGGGGAGGGGAGAAGTGAGTGCATTCCCACAGCTGCTCCTCAGTGTGCAATACTGTGTACCTCACGGACGCTTTGGCAATGCCAGGCTCATAGATACAGAATCAGAACTATATTTTTGCAGGTGCTTTATTTTCGCAGCCCACGATTCACTGTGGTCGAACGCAGCGACGTTTGCCGCTTGCTGGACAACCCACACCTGGCTTGCTCCTTTTGACCAGAGAGCATGTTCAAGAATGATGCTTTTAAAATTATTACGTTTACATGCTTCTCTTTTCTAGGAACGGCAGGGCAAGAACAGAAATGTCCATGTGGCCCTCATGTACTTTTAAATTATACAACGCTCTCCAATATTAAAAGACTCTAGGAACTGAGGTTTACATACATTTGTGCGGTGACATTATCGAATGTCAATAAATTTGCTTTTGGAGATGTTAAGAGGGGCAAGAAGGGGGAAGACAGTGTTATTTATTTCTTTCTGTTCTTGGAATCACGAACGAGATAGGCACAGATACATTCCCTTTAGAGTTGAGAACTATGACATAGTGAGTTAGACTAGACGTAGCACCGAGCTCAGTTCATACATTGGTCTTAGTGGGTGACGGATGGAGAGAAGTTCTATCTTTTGTGTTGCAGCCTCCGCCAACAACAATGTGTTGTAAAAATGTCTTTCATGTAAAAAGTGCAGTAAATATTTACTATTTATAATGAATAAACGGTTATGAAAACTTGCCCAACACTGCTCTTTTCGTGGGAACTGGTGAATGTAGTATTAATAAAAACTTGGAAATGGGGAGCCAACGAAACATGCACTTCCCACCTAACGGTGCCTTTTAGGTTAGATAATAACATGGACAAGTAAAGTCACACAACTCACAGCGGTATTGTCCTGAAGGAGCTTGGTCAGACACCCTTCTAAGGACTGATGTTTGTGTTTCCATAGCTGCGCAGTCACACCCAGCTTCCTCCGTCCTTGGGCCTCTCGGAGCTATCGCATCACATTCCATCCCTTGGAGGCATGTTTTCCCCCAGAGCACTTAACTTCATCTTCACCTCTGCTGAAATTTTATCACAAGCTCTCATGTTTTATTTACTTTGTTCTAGAAGCTTTCTTCACTCTTCATGAAAATCATTGCTGCCTATTTCCTTCATTTTCCTTCCTTCCTCCCTCCTCAAGCCCAGACTGGTGTGGGAGAACCTTAGGGTCAGAAAGATCTCAAGGAGCACTCTTCAATTCAGTAGCAACTAGCCATGTATGGCTATTTAAATTCAGTCATTAAAGGTAAATGAAATTAAAGAGTGAGTTCCTCAGTTGCACTAGCCACATCCCAAGTGTGCAATAGCCAAAAGCTACCACTTTGAGCAGGATAGATATAGAACATTCCCGTCATTGCAGAAAAGTCAACAATGATTTAAAAAACCCCAAGGACTTGAAGTGTAGTAGGTAAAAATTTCCAAATTCTTTAAATGCCTTAGGTCTTTTCAGCTCACACACTCGTCCTTTCAGTCAACCGTATTGCCTTTTTTCTTGATAATTATTTCTTCCAAAACTGTTATAAGAAGAGGAAATGAAGGTAAACCCACTTTCTTTTGTTACCTTGTTTAATCCTCACAAAAATCCCGTGAGGCAGGCACTTTTGGCCCCAGATTAACAGATGAGTGGACTGAGGTCTGCAGTTGTTCGTCAGCTTGGCCAGGGTCACACATAGCGACATAGCAGAAGCAGGCTTTGACTTCTGCTCGGGCTAGTGGCAGAACCTGTTTTTGTTTTTGCCTTTCCAAATGCTGCCTGCGATAGTCACCTTGTTAGTCAACCTGTCCTCATGCCAAACTCAAGTTGAAAACAGGCATTAAAAAAAATTCACTCCCAATACGCTAGAGAAACTACCAGGATATGGGATTGCACAACCGCAACTGACCTTACATATCACTTTCCCTTCCCTCCTGATCTCAGAATGTGCCATGCGTGGCTTGTGTCTCTTTTTGATATACTTCTTTATGCCCTTTAATTTCTGCATGCCTCTGAGGTCTGTTGCTTTGCTCATGTTTCTCCTGTTGAAAGTCTCTGCAGATCATTTGTTTTCTAATTTGTTTTTTGTATCAAATCCATCTCCAAGGGAATGGGGCCCTGACTTCCCCATCCTAACCCCAGTCAGGGTCCTTACTTTCACCCCCTGGGACAAGCATCCCTAAGAACTTTGAGCCCTTGGCACTCAACTGGGCTTCAACCTGATTGTGTCTGGAGGGGTTCCCCTTTGTCCATAGAGTTATACAATTGAATTTGTAAAGTTAAAAGTAAAAGCTGAAAATCAAAACTTAAAAATTATTGAATCATGGCTGCATTAATGTCAGCTGCTGAATCATTCCTTGGCAGCAGTTTTCCTAGGAACAGATACCGTACTTCACATCTGTGATGGAAACAAACATATTCTAGGCTTTTAATCAGCCTAATTTGGAGATGCATTTTCACATACATTTGGATGTTTGGGGAACATCCTGTGTTAGAAGGACCTTCATTAGTGCTGGCATACAGAACCACTGTAATGGACAAAGTCACTGACTCACTGCTGTGAGTTTAGGAAGAGTCTTAAAAGGGGAGGGGACGGATTAATTAATATCCTTTGTGTGGACATGCCATGGAAGAATCACTCCTCAAACTACGTAATTCCCACATGGAACCAGAACCACCATCTCCATAGGAACAAAGTCTATTTGGGGGATGAAGACTTGGGCCTCACCCATTCTGAGTAAATAATTCTTGGTGTTTGGTCATGTATGGATAAGGAGAGCTGGGATGAAACGCTGAGGAGCAGAATAAGTGGCAGAAAAGTATTTATGCAGAGAGATTCACAGAGCCAGTCTCCGTCCTAGACATGCATTCATGGATCTGGAATTAGTGTTGGATGATATATGAGAGAAAAGGAAGAAAGAGCTAGGCTAGGGCTTCTGGTCGAATGCCAGTGATATAAGCCGGCTCTATCTTTTTTATAGACCCACCCTTGGGTATTGCTGACCATCGTATCCCATCGTGCCTGACCCATGATGGATACCCAGTGTCTGCCTGTTCAATAAAAGAATGAAGAAGTGAATGGAGAGTGACTCTCTTATACTCTGTGTCTCCACATGATCTTCTGAAGAGGGAGCTCAACCTCAAGGGTGTGTGAATTGGGGTGAGCAAGGGTGGTATTGCAGTAATCCCTGGGGTTGGGGGGACCAGCCATTTGGCTTATGAACCAGAGGTACACAGGTCTTGAGCCTGGGTTGATGCAAAGCCTTATGGAAGGGAGAGGCAGGGGGTCTAATAAGCCACCTAAAAGTCGTATTTCTGTTTCTGACTGATGCAGATGGCACAAAGTCTTGAATTTTTGGATTCACCACTAGGAGGATTAGAAAAGAAAAGAGAAATAGCTAGTTAGTTTATTGTTTAGAGCTCTGTTTTTCAGCCCTGGCTATATAGTAATCTGAGGAATTATTAAAACAACAGCAGCAGCAAACAGACTAGTGCTTGGTTGCACCCAGACTAATGGACTCAGAATCCATAGAGATGGATGCAGGGAGGGCTGACAAGGCAAAAACTCAGGGAGAAGTCTTTGGCTGCATTGAAGCCTTGGCCACACTTGGCCAGAAAACTAACTGATGAGTTTTCTGGGACCTGAAGCAGGGGTTAGGGTCACTTACCACAGCAGAGCTGAGAGAGGGAAGTCACTTTGGAGTATGGGGACACGTTAGCTTCATTTCCCCCCAAACCTCACCACCAGCTCTTGACCCAGAGAGAGAGGGAGAAAGAGAGAGAGAGAGGGAGAGATATAAAGAGGAGCAGCGATGCTGCCCGAGGGAGAGTCTCGGAATTGCTGTTTGGTTGGCGTGTGCTACAATCCCATGGTGTCCCCAGCAGGAGGTCTCCAAAGCCCCACCACACAAAAATCAGCAGGGCTGGGACCTTCCCCCAAGAAGTGTGTTGACATCTTGTTACTCAGGCTCTTGTAATCCTGTGGCATTCAGGAGAGTTTTAATCATGGAACTGAAAAAAGAACTGCCTTTTGATCCTGCTCCCCCAACTCCACGAAGCCAAGCATTTATACAGCTCCTGATCCTTGAGAATAAGCCCCCCCCCCCCCCC